GACGAAACAGCTAGCTGTTCAGTACTCTCTGATGGTTTTCAATGGTCCTCTAATTGATTTCAATCATTAATCAAACTTGAAACAAATCAAATCCCTACAAACTAACTCTTGAAATGAGACACTTCTCAGTGATAGTAACTTATGACAACCATCTATGTTCCCTTTATGAATTTAGATAAAGCAATAAGAAGACGTAATTTGTCTGAATCGAGTAATGCTGTATTTGCGCAACATATTTCGAACAATCTGATCACACACACACGGACTTATCATAGAAATATATATGAAATTAATAAAGAGGTAAGAGGTGAGAAAATAGACTTAGGTCAAGTTAAAAGGACATATTCAAGGTCAAAGTAACAATGACGATCACAAAACCAAATAACAGAGGTAATAGTACATCTACCCTGGCTGGTATCAAAACAAAGTTTACCAAGTAAGGTAGGTTTAGTGTGATGACGAATTGTTGCTTTGTCCGCATAAAGGTGGTTTAAACTTTCTAATTGCTAGGGCTTCCACAAACTTTAGGGTACGCCCCAAACACGTTCTATAGATAGGTTTAAAAGATGTGTTAACGTCAATTTTATGTCCTGTCTCTATAATATGTTTCTCAGTAGAGGAGCTAGGTCGCCTGTTCTCACCATTAATGGGTTTTGAAGCTTATGTTTGCTTCTGAAATAGCCATTTAGGAATATACTCTGAAGCCAGCCCTTACTTGCAGAGATCGATGAGTCCTCCCTATGTATATGTGTCCACACGTACATTCAAATTGGTAAATACAGTGGCATATGACATCATTTTTCGCATGTTCAAAGGGCTTAGATGGATGGATATATTGGCTTCACATTCTCAATTATTATGGTATTAGTTGCGTAAAAAGTCTTTTTAGCAGCAGCGTTCAATCTCTGTCTAGTTATCAAGCTGCTATGATGCCCCATATAGGGTAGCTTGATGTATACGTTTTTCTTAGGGGAGAGTTGGAGAGTGGGTCTTGTTGTTCTGACTACTTTATATGTCCTGATGAAATTGTCTGGATAATTGTTATTAAGGAGAGTTTGTGTCAACTTTCCTTCTTCTTCATCAAGTGTGTCTTCAGTGCATATTGGTTGGATTCTACTGAAGAGGCATCTCACTCACTAAGTCTCTTTTGTACCGAACAGCGCAGAAAGTGCGGTAATTAAGATACTGTCCTGTTCAGGTGGGTTTTCTATGAATAGATCTTTTTATTGACCCATCAAGCCATCGACTAAGGAATATGTCTAGGAAAGATAAACAATTATCTTCTTCTTCTACAGATGTAAGTGATATGCTATGTCTTTGATAACTTGAAACTTGAACTGTGTATTAGAAACTGTCAAAAAATGTTACACTTATTGAGTGCATATGAAGTCAAATGATGATATGAATTCTATTCATCTCAAGCGATGTTTATTATTATTATTATTACTAGTTTTTTTGGTTCTTGCTTTACAAAATTTAAAGAAGAAACATTATCAGCTCAGATTGTACTTCTAAATTCTTTTAAGGACTTGTGTAAATTCTGTTTAAAGAGCTTAAAGGAAACATGACCCTAGAATATTAGAATGTTAGATAAGAATTACTAGGTTTAGTCGTAATAGTACGTTCTTTGGTGAGATATGAATGTTTTGTAATTATTATGATCACTTACAATCTATTTTATAAAAGTTCCAAACTCAAGTTTGATTCCTTTGTATCCCCAACTGGAACATAAGGCTTTAAACTTCGGGTTTTTTTGAGCTTTCAGCAGTCATAGTGGTGTGGTTTCTACACTTTGGAACTTTTTGGTGTAGTTTTGTTCCCTGAGGTGGATGGGGTTGTGTTGTCAAGCTTTGGGTGTCTTACGAGACACCATATTCAGCGCCTATTTCAATTTGAATTAAGCTTTTAAAATTCTTCACGAGTTTATGAGTTGTCTCACCCAGAAACCTTGATCGTGGTTGGTTGTTTCTGCGTATTTTCTCTCACTTTAGTCTACTTGTATTGGGACTGATTGTTTTCCTGACCTTGAAAGTTGACCTTTCATGCGCGTGATCTCATTTTTATGGATTGATAAATCTTATCTGTGTTAGTGCGTCCGTCGACTACCGATTGAATACCAGGCTTCTAGAAATTCTTTGGCAACTTAAGTGTTTCCTCTGTCTAAGATTTGAACATTGTACCCATAGAATTGATACCCATAGAATCTGTGAGTGTCTGCATTTATTGACAGAACGGAAGTGAATAACGTGTCTTTTGATGGTCTGTTTATGATCACGGATACGAAGACGAAGATGGCGTCCAGTATGACCAATTTGATGTTTTTCACAGACGTTGCAATTTTTTATGTAAATGATGTTATTTTTGTCTTCTTTCGCTGTTGAATCTTTGGGTTGACATAGAGTCGAGTGAATTGGGTTTTTTGGTTTGAAGGTGACATAAATTCCATAGAGCTTGAACAGTTTTGCAGTGATTTTGGAGAGTTTTGATTTAGTTGGTCGGATTGAGGGTAGGCGTCGCTTGACGAAGTTTCGTGAATATCCATTTTTTTCGGAAGACATCCATAAAATATTTTTCTTCAATTTTCCCCAAGGCAGGAGTGCTAAAATGCCTCCTGGTTCTCTTGAATGATGTTTGTATGTAACTCTTTTAGTTTGCTGTCGTAGTGTTGCTGTTATAATTCAGAGGTGATTGATACACTTGTGGAGAGTTTTAGAAGCTTACTTCAAATTGAAGTACGCCCTGAGGATGTTGTCTAGCAAGACAATGAAAGCTTCGCGGTTAAACCCGATACTGCTCAGAGAACATAACGACACTAAAATCATCCACTTGAGCTACAAATCTCTTCAATTACATCTAAATCTTTTGAGTGGTAGCTCTTCTAAATGTCCTAATAGAAATATTCCTCAAATCGATATAGCTTGTTTCATTCTTTATCAAACAGAATAAGCGTCTTAACTATGTGTCGACAGGATGTGTTGATGTCATTGTTTGTGAATCAGCCATAAAGGATGACTGTTATGTGAGATGAGGGTTTAAACCAGGAATCCTGAGATCCAGAAACAAAAAATTTCATGACGCCAGTTAACTTTGAAGTTGTCGCAGAGTAAAATAAGCTACAATCTGAATCAGCTGAGAGTTTATTTTTTAAGCCTGACTGAATTTTCATAAAATTATGACGTCAAATCAAAAATATCAAAGCAAGACGTTTTCTTTTGGTTGACTTGAAATTACCTATTGCGAATTGATCTTTCATGCACCAGGGTTTGAGACATACCCATATTATTTTAGGAATAAATCAGTTTCAAACTTATTGATTGAAAATAGAAGACTTGAAGCCCTATGTTAATGCTTTACTAATAAGTTTCTGTGCTTCTCTGAACACTTTTTGAATGAGTTGGTTGAGGGCAGTCGCATCATTCCTTCTGGAAGTCGGTTCCAGGAGTTTATATCTCGGTGTGGGAATCAGTATTCCATGACGATATGATTCCTCCTTGGCTTTCGCACTCTCCTGTTATGTTATCTCAGGTATTCTGACCTGGTGGGAGGGCAAAAACAAAATAGACAGGAGACCAGTAGTTCAGCGAAGAGTCTCTTTTCGGCGAATTCATTTTCATTGCTGTACAATCGCAAATATATGTGGTTGTTTTGTATGTGTGTGTACATTGAATTTGCCAAACGAAAATACAATTAGTAAGTTCAGATGAATTGGATGTTGATATAAGAAGGTAGTAACAAAAGTGATGAGTTGTCATAAACGATTGTTAAAGAAGACTTATATAATAACATGAATAGTTTGATGAAAGAGTTGTGCTCAGGGTGTACATGGAAACAAAATAATATATGGAATTACGCAGGAGCTTTAGGTAGGTAGAAAAATGAGCATACAAGCAAAAGTTAAGTCAAATCAACAGAGTTGTTACCATGATAGTAGAAGTGGTTGGATAATTTTCTTTTGTATGCATAGTTCTGGTTCTTCCAACTGAATGGCTAGGGCTTCTGCAATGCAGAGAAGACGGAAACGTAATGTATTTGGCAGGATGTTCTTCACTTTGTAGATTACTTTGAAGGAGGCGTTTGTTGAGATGGAATGACCAGTGGTGACGAGATGTTCGATTATTGCACTCCTTATACGGCCACTACTTCCTTTTTGCAGCCACGCTGGATAGTGTTCTTTGATCTTTTCTGACAGGACGTCGACCGATGTACCTGGAACCACAGCAACAGGTGAACTGATATACTTATATTTATATTTAACGTACACACACATACAAAACAACCACATATATTTGCGATTGTAAAGCAATGAAAATGAATTCGCCGAAAAGAGACTCTTCGCTGAACTACTGGTCTTCTGTCTATTAATGTTTGAATGGGGATTTTTCATGAATTAAAAAGAAAATGGATCAGGTCCGTAGTTATTGGTTAAAATTTTAAACATTGCAATGAGATCTCTCTGTCTGCGGTATGATAAACAGAAGAGACTCAAACTGTTTGGTCTTTCATTGTATGAAAAAGTGGTCATACTAAGAATCATATGTGTTAATCTCCTTTGAGCCCTTTCTACAGAATATATGAGGTCCGCTTGAGACAAGGAGTGGTTGCCTGGACACAGTCTTCCAGTCTTAACCTCACCAGAGACGCATATAAAGAAGTGAACATATCCCTGGTGATTCTAGTAAATGCCCTACGTACTGTCTATAAAAATCTAAAGCTTCGAGCTGTCACCGCAAAACGGTGTGCTGTAGTTTTTAAGTCGTGACTTATTATGACACCTTGATCCACATGAGTCTGAATTGATGGGAGTGTCATTCTTCCATGTTCGTATGAGCTAATGCTTCGTGTCCAGTGTACGTTCATTGTATAACTATTACTGTGAAACTCTACAGTACTAAAGGTCAGCTATTTAACTTCCTGTTGATTTTAGAGGGAATATAATTTTGGAACCTAATTTTTTAAAATTTTGCATTAATTTATTGATTTTATCCAATTTTATTTTGTAGGATACATTGAGACAATACTGTGAAAGTCTTTGGTATTCAGGCTTAGAATACAAGCGTCCAACTCATGAAGAAATTGTAAGTTCCAGTGTAAAGCAAAATACTATGATGAATTTTTAAACGTATCTACAGTTTATTGTGTAGAAGATGGTTTAACTGGGTGAGATTGTCATTTGAGCACCATGGAATTATCATTTAGACACTAGGTTGAAATGTGTTTATCGGGGGTTTAGTGGTAGAGTACTGACCCACCAACCACTGCGTAGTCCTATCTGATTCCTCACCAGTGCACTCCTGGCCTGTAGTGATCTTTAAAAAGAGAGAAGATCAAGTGTGAAGCTAGCAACGAAATCCTGTAAAGCAACAACACCGTCAGTGCTAGTGAAACTTCAAAAAAGATCTTGAAACTAATTGTTCCACTCGGAACACGAGGGGGTTAGAAAAATTGGGCTGGAATGCAGTAGCTCATGAATCCCAGGTTCTTTCACTTTGTCACCGTCATCTCATATTAACGATGATGATGATAATGATGGCAGTTCACATGTTAAATCCCAAACTTTGCATAGAAAAGAAGTTTAACATCATATCTACAACTGACCTGATCTGTCTTAATACAGGATACTTAATTTTTTGTTTTTGCTTTTTAATTGTATTATTTTCTTCCTTCATTCCCTACTGAATTTCTACCCCTTATTACAGCTGTGGTTAACTTGACTGTCGGTCAATTTTAGTTGAATTCTACTGAATCCCATCAACTAGATTAAATCACTCATTTTACCGATTTATGTTTATTTCAATTTCTACCCGATAAACGCTTTTTATATTAAGTAATTCGTTATCTAAAATATACAATTCTAATGATATATATATCGTTGTACAGTTTGAGAATGATATCGCTGAAAACAGGAGTAACTCTTCTCTGAATGTATTTTCTTTTATGTGACTCATTGTGGGGATTTTTTAAGTTTTTAAAAGAATGGAAATGGAACAAAGAGTACTCTTTTCGATAAATTCATCATCCGGTTCTACAATTATATATACATTATAATGAATGAATGAATTAGTCTTATTATTATTGTTCCCTTGGGTTCCTAGTGGAACATAGGGCTTCAACTGCACGTCTCCACTTGCTTCTGTCTTCTGCTGTACTTTTCACTTGCGTCCATGTTATTCCCTACTGTTTCATCTCCTCCTCACACGATCTCCTCCATGTCACCCTTGGACGTCCCACTCGCCACTTCCCTTTCGGGTTCCACTCGAGCTATGGCCTGACGCTCGATGTCACTCAACGGCCTCCTCAGCGAGTGTCCAATCCATCTCCACTTCCTCCTGCATATTTGTTGGGCGACTGGTTCTTGTTTTGTTTGTTCCCATAGCTTCTTGTTTGTGATTCTTTCCGGCCATCTGATCTTCAGCATGGAGCGAAGACAGTTGTTGATAAAGGTCTGCAACAGGCTGTTGGAAATATTCTTTGTGACACACTGGCCAAGTTTCTGATCCGTAAAGCAAAATTGACTTGACGTTTGTATTGAAAATCCGAATTTTTTTGTTGATGGTGAGTTGAGTGACGAAGATTTCCAGATTGGTGTCAGGTTGATGAATGTGTTTCTCGCCTTCCCAATTCTCGATTTGACATCCTCGTCCGTTCCTCGTGTAGTTGAGACAATGCTCCCTAGATAAGTAAGTGAATGAAGTAACCTCTTTCAAATCCCTCCCGTTGATGGTGATTGGCACTGGATGTTGCTGCTGCTGTTGTTGGTTGGTTATTTTCATAACCTCCGTCTTGTCTATGTTCACCTGGAGTCCTGTCTTTGCTGCTTCTTCGACCAGTTTGTCGGTTTTCACTTGTAAGTCTTCGACTTTGTGTGACATCAAACATAAATCATCCACGCGCGAAATCCAGTTCTCCTAGGTTCTTCACGTCGGTCCAGGATATCCCTGTCTCCTCGTTTCCCACTGTCTGACGCATAATCCAGTCCACCACAATCAGGAATATCATTGGTGATAATAAGCACCCTTGTCTGACTCCTGTGTTTACTTCAAACGCTTCGCTGAGTTTTCCGTTGTGGATCACTTGACATGTGCTGTTGTCGAACAGTTGTTGAATTAGGTTGATGAATATTTGGGGTACGCCGTAGTACTCGAGTTGTTTCCAAATTACTTCGCGGTCAACACTGTCGAAGGCCTTCTCAAAGTCTATGAAGTTGAGGTAGAGATTTGATTGCCATTCCATGCTTTGTTCGGTGATGATGATGCGTAGAGTTGCAATTTGGTCAGAACATGATTTGCCTTTCCTGAATCCATCTTGTTCTGGTCGGAGTTCTGTATCCAGTGCGTCCTTTATTCTCTCCAGGATGATGCGACTCAGGATTTTACTTGGCGTCGACAGGAGCATGATTCCTCGCCAGTTCTTGCAGAGTCCCAGGTCACCCTTATTTGGTAGTTTCACCAGGTAACCTTTCCTCCAGTCAGTAGGCACCTTTCCCTCTTTCCAGATCTTTTGCAATAATGGAGTCAGCATATCTGCCGTCGTTTCTGGGTCCGCTTTCAGTGCTTCCGGGGGTATTCCATCTGGTCCAGCTGCTTTTCCAGCTTTCAGAAGCTTGATTGCATTCATGACTTCAATTTTCGTTGGAGGATTGGTGTCAACTTGCAGTTGTGTACGTGCTGTTGTTGGTATTACTGGACGGGTTGTAGGTGGTGGTCGGTTCAAGAGTCCTTTGAAGTGGTCCGCCCATTGTTTAATCTGTCTTTCTTCCTTGGTAATTGGGTTCCCTTGGCTGTCTTTTATAGGTTTCACTTGTGTTGATCTCTTCCCGGATAGAGACTTGGTTATCCACGGATGATTCCTCAGTGGTGCCACGTAGTGTTTCCTGCTTTGCTGTGACAGTTGCAGTGAAAGTGTCCTTTGTGGTTGTGTCCTTCAGTTTTTGCGTGTTGAACTTGCATTGTGGCCTATCCCCAGGTATCCTCGAGGCTTTCAGCTTCACCTTGAATGTCCCTTGTACTAGATAGTGGTCTGAACCCACATCTGCTCCTCTTCTCGATCTTGTGTCCAGTAGGCTCCGTCTCCACTTCCTTGAGATTGAAATGAAGTCTATCTGGTTTTTGGTGTGTCCATCTGGTGAAATCCATGTTGCCTTGTGTATATCCCTGTGTTTGAACACACTGCCACCAATCACCAAATCATTGAAGGCGCAGAAGTCTGAGAAGAGTTCGCCATTTTCGTCTTAGTCTTATGAACAACATTAATATTGTTTAAATAACATCGAATCAATAATATCAATAGATTACAGCTCAATAGCATCAACATAAAATAAGCTGAATGTCAGAAAAATTAGGAAAGATAATAATACAAATTCATGAGTTTATAGTTTCTACTGAGGGCCAGAACAGTAATAGGGGCTGGACTTGTTTCTTTTGAACACAGAGCACTAGTTGTTTGAGACGAATTGCAATAGCCTCTGCTGTTTGGAGCATGCTGTGATTCGACGATTTTGGTAATTTGTTAGGCACCCGGTATATTATAGAGAAGGATTCTTCTACGCTGGCTTTGTGACCGGTTTGCACCAGATGGTCTAATATCGAGCTGTTAATAGTTTTAACTAACCTTTACTTAGCCATAGTGGGATATGTTCTCGAGCACGAAAAATCAAGTTCCTAGAGCAACTATTGGCCGTTGCTCTAGGAACTTGATTTTTCGCTCCACAAGTGCAATTGAATTGATGAATACAATTTGAAGTGGCTAGTCTAGGTACTTCATCTTTCAGTCGAGGTAGCACCATCGGTCGTGTAGACAATAAGACGTGTAGTTCGCCAGCATTAAAAGTTCTTTGAACTGATTTTCTTAATTTCCTCGTAATTATCTCACTTGATATATCGCCCTTGAATTGCAGTCGTATATACAGTGGCTTCTTGTTCACAGATAGTGAGTAGTCTTTTTCCGCTTTCTTTGTCATGTGTTTCTTGATACATTTTTCTCGGGATAGCTATTTTCGATCAAAGTATCATATACAGTGCTTAATTCATCTTCAGTTACTTCCTCTGAGCATATAGCTCTTACTCTGTGGCTGAAGGTCTTCACTAAATTTCTTTTGTAATTGATAGGAACGAAGCTGCGAAAGTGTGTTTATTGTCCTGTCCAAGTGCTTTTTGTATGCAAATTTCTTTCTTTGCTACCGTCTGGTTTTCTTGTAAGCAGGTCATACAGGAAGGCAATTCTGTCTTGGGATTCCTCTTCGCATGTGAATTTCATAGCCAAATGTACTTCATTGAATTCAGTAATTATTGTACTCCTATCAGAACCATTATCACAAAGAATAAGGGTATCATCCATATATCGGCAATAAAATGAGAGCTTACTGATAAGGTTGTTCAGAGGTCCATTTTCCAGCTTACTTAGAAAGAAATCAGCCAGAATGGTTTCCAATGGGGAGCCCATCGCCACCCCGTCCACTTGCCTGTGAAGCGTGCCGTCAAATTTGAAGTTTACATTCATGGTACATCTTAATATCAATTCTTTTAGGGTTTCAATATGGATTCCAATGTTTATCGACTGCTTGTCCACTTGTTCACATATATAATTAACTGTTTCTATTAGAGTTACATTTGTGAATAAGGATGTTATGTCCAGAGATATCATGGTTTTGTCCTTGATATTAATATCTTTTATTTTGTCTACGAATTCAAATGCATCTTTGACGCTGTATTTCACTATCTTCACATGCAATAGTTTGATAGTATTTACTAACCATCTAGCTGGAGCATGGTAGGGCGAATTTTGCATATCAAGTATTGGTCTTAACGGTACCCCTGGTTTATGCACTTTAGGTGGGCCATACAATCTTGGCGTATACGTGCTCGTTGGTCTGATTTCTTCATTTTTAAGTTGCTTATTGATGAGTATTTGTCCCTACAATCGACTCGAAGGATTCAAATAACAATAATCTGTTTTAAGGAATATTGCGTATAAAAATTTAGGCAATTTAAGATTGCCACCATTCGTATGAACTGGACGGTGAGAATATCTTCGATTAGGAACCATTGAATCGTTCAGTGTTGCCCAATAGCACCAAGAC